GCAGCTCATAAACCAAGCAATTGTATGAGGATAATAAGGATATATCTATCAATTTTCTAACCATTTCAGGGTCACAAGGGAGCTGGGCTGATCCTGGCAATTGCAGAGTATACACAGACAAAATCAAACATGTACACACTCACACCAGGGCTGTTTTGTCAGGGGCCAGTTAACCTACCAGTAGGTCTTTGGACTATGGGAGAAAACCAACATGAATACAGGAAGAACAGACAGACAGCAGCAGCCCAGGTTTGGAATTGAGGCCATGGCACTGCAAGGCAGCAATGCTAACCATAGTACTACCATGCCACCCCATGAGGATATATGTAAATCCATATTCTGCCCACTTCCCGATAACAAGTTATAAACCCATTAGTTAGTGGTGAGGCTGATATTTTCCACCACTGTACTCAATGTAACACAGCAGTACCATATTTATTTTATATTGTATTTTATAGAACATTTTATATAAACATACAGCTGGCATTTGTTACTTCAAGAACAGAAGAATTGCTTTAATTACTTTAAATACTGAATTTTAATGACCAGGACTCTGCAGTTTAAGATAGAAGCCTGTTGTAAATGAAATACCTCCATCATGCACCGGATTTGTAATTTGTGGCTGTTGAAAGATACATTGAAATCCCCAGTTCACCGTTTTACCAGCTGTAAACATTTGATAAGCCCAAAAAGACCCAGATAAAATATGAAAGTCTACAGGTATATGAATTAAAAGAAAACAGATCCTTCAGGGACCTTCAATGCCCTATGGAACACGAACAACTATCTGATCAGCCAACTAAGCTAATTTTTAAAGACACATGCATATTTAGATTTAAACTGACTACACGTGCTTCTGTCAAATAGTAAAATTAATTGTCTTTCTCTCACACAGAACACTTCCAGAAACAGCTTTGCTCAAAAGAAATATTGCCCAAATTTAATGAAAACCTTATCTGCCTTTCACTACTTCCCAAATCCAGGACCTAATGGCAGTTTTCCAAGTAGTCTTTGGCAACTGTAATTCTCCAAGTGGTGGTGCACAATTTGCTGAATGTTGTCCAGTGTGGGGTGGGAAAAGTTGTCTAGGGCTTTTCAGCACTGAACCTCTGATTCAGTCATGATTGTAATCCCTCCTCTTAAGGGCGCTCCGGCTCTTTCACATTTTAGTTGATTATGTGTACCTACCTCCAATCCAGCCCCCCCTTATAAGCCGACGCTCACTCTATTCCAGGCTCTGAATTGGAAGATGGACGCCTGTCCTGACCCAGCTGAGTCCGGGGCTCAGAGCGCCTGGCCTCGTCAACCCCGTTTTTTTTTTTCCTATCCCTGCACTGGATCCTGTTCCAGTTCTTAACCTCGTCTTGTTTTGTCTTGGATGGATCACCTGGTACTGGACTTTTGGACTGCTTCTTGGTTTCCCCTTTCGGATTGTTTTGGACTAGTTCACCTGGACCGCGCCCCCCCCCCAAGCACCAGTGCACCGTCGTCACACTTCCTCGTGTTTGTTGCACTCCCTTCCAGATTCTATCGTCTGCATAATGTCCTGATAAACGCTTCGTAACACTGGGATGTGTTACCTTTGTTAGAAGACTAGTGTCTCAAAGTAGAGCAGAAGGAGGAATCTGCCTACCATATACTTTCACATTTTCGACCCGTGTGAGGGCACCATAAACTGAAACATGAAATTCGCGTAACTGTCAATTCCAAATCTGGGGGAGTGTACATTAACTGGACAGTCTATTTTTTAAAACGAAGTCTCTATGAAGTGACATGTCTTGATTTCTGACAGGCGACTGGGGCAAAGGTTTGATCTTGGACAGGATGACAGTCCATTTCAGATGACGCGCACTCTCATGCACAAAAAGGGCAATTGGAATATGTTAGAGCAGTGGCTTTATATCCTGGTCTTGGGAGATCATCGTGTCTTCTGGAGTTTGTTCCAGCCAGCTTCTCAAATGCAAGCCAATTTTCATTGTTTTAAATTTTAGATTTGGTTTTAAATTTTCTTTCAACTCTTAAAAGGTTTTATGGGGTTTATAGCCCCATTTTAACCCTGTCACAGCACTAAACAAGTTAGAGGCTGTATAAATTCTGTATGCTGATGTTGGTGCAAATAACAAACCTTATTTATTGTATTTTTGAGGCCCAAGACTGAGTGCAGTCTAAATAAGCAAGGAGATCAATCACATGCATGAATTAGGAGCAGTGATTGAGTGCCAAGTTAGAATAGAAACAGTTCTCCCTCAGAACCACCTCAGGAGAATCACTGATTTGGAGATGCCAATTATCATAGACAGTACATGTTTATGAAGTGGAGAGGAAACTAGAAGTTGGGATGCATCTACCTTGAGATACAACCCCATCCAATCCACTCTGCTCCAGAAATTGACTTAAGTCCACTTCTTATTTATTATTAAACTGATCATTATTATGATCAATCTATCAATTAAGGAGCTACACTGTTGGGCGTCAGTATTCTGTAGATTTACACTGAATGAGAAAAAAAGGTGACAAGAAGAGTAAAAAAATGAAATCTTCCTATGGACCATTAAGGATAGCAAATAAAATATTTATTTTTTCATTTATTTCATAACAATCTAAAATACTCTGTCTGGCGTTCCAGGTCTACTTTAGTGTAGCCTGGCTTCAGAAGCTTTGCTGACTGTAATTAATAAATAATTGCAGCATCCCGCTTCATTTATCAATCGGGGACATCATTACCCTGCCTTTTGTTATTCCGTGCACAGTCTGGTGAGTGAAACAGACCAATAACAGCGAAATTAATGACCCATGCAGGGAAACTAATCAAATTGATCACAGACGTCCAGTGGGCTTTGCTGTGAGCAGATTTCTGATCAAGGGTCTTAAACACTGTTGGGAGAAATAATGATTAACTGTAGGGGGACAGAAGTCAGAAGTTCAGAGATCACAAAAACAATAACAAAAATAAAGACAACAATTCTCCCTAACCTTCAGTGCCAAAAAGCGTGATTTATCTACTCTGTACAGTAAAATAGAAATAATCTATTATTCTTGCACTGTATTTCAGTCTTGGACTTGTCAGTACAACATGATAGATCGGGTGGCTTCTAGTTCAACTGTGACAATTTGGCTGTGGAGAGGCACTGCCAGCAGGCTATAATGTTCAGATTTTGTGATCTACTTGATGAAGACAAAATTTCTGTCATCCACACTTTTCTTATTTGTTCATTTTTTCATAATTCTGTCCCTTCTGTCCAGTAACCTACTGCATATTTCTTTAACAGTTGGATCCAGTCTAGAAGTAAACACAAACATAAGTACAGTATATAACAACAGAAGGTCAAACATCAAAATACAATATAAAACCCTGTAAATGAGCAGGGTACCATTTGGAGTATTTTCTGGATAGAAGTGGCACAGAAATGAAGGATATGCACATTCAGAACTGATTGTAGGGGTGTTCTTGTAGATAGAATTTTGGTAAAATAAAGCAATTATACAGATTGAGTTCTTACAGGTGGCATAAACAAATAAATAAGATTTCTGGATCAAAAAACCTTTTGGAACCTATCTCCATTTTTGTCCATCAAATGTCAGTATTCTCTTCTGTACCCTGCCCATTTGGAATCTCTAATAGCTAACTAACTTGATTTGCCATTTGGGAAATAAAAGTGTATTACAGGTGTATTAACACCAGGTGGAGACGAATAGAAGTTCTCACAACACTACTAATTTACAGGAGCCTGAGGGATTGGGTGGTAAGGCTTAACCCTCTTAACTGTGACAGAGCTGAGATACTGGAGGTACAGGTATCCCTCTCACAGGCAGCAATTTCTGTAGTATGAGGCTGTAGTCCTTTAGCTTAGGAGTCAAAGTCCTGGTGCTTTAGGATGCTATAGGTTTTTGAGTTCACCCGGGATTTTAAATATCTTAATCGAATATTGTCTTAAGAACTTTTTTATGCTCTTCAGAACCTGCTACTTTAATGATACCCCTGCTTTACCTTGATACTCTGAGCATCTTTACTAGTTGTGCCATTTGGCACTAGTTGCTCCCTCTTCATCCAATTCTTATTTGATTAAACACATTTGTTCAGACGTCTAGTAAAAAAAGCAAATACAAGGTACAACAATAAAGTAAGAAACATGGGAGAGTCCAGACATGGCTTGACCTTATTTGTCCTTAATGTTTCATACAAAAAGATCCACTTTTTATCTGGAAGAAAAAAAAAAATCTTCATTTTAATTTCAGGTGATTGGTAGGAGATTGAGCTTTCAAAACCAGCACTATTCTTTTTACTCCTGCTGCAGGTAGGGTTGGGTCATTGTGATCCACTGCCATGAGACGCTGTAGCAGAATAACTTGACCAAAATTAGAAAACCATAAGTAAACAGTGATAGGGTCACATTGCTGATATTGGATCAATGTCTTCACAGGTTGTTTACCAATACTGAGTTACAATAAGATAGGTCCAGCCTTACCATATTATCTGTAAAATATACTAATGATGCACAATTATTTATGCAGACCCTGATATTGTGCTGGAAGTGACTCTGATATTGCCACGGGAAGAGAATTGTAAAACTAGTCTAGCAAAACACAATTATGCAGCAAGAGTAAAGCTTTGAAATGTCTGTTACAGTCAATAAGTTAACTGTGATTGAAGTTATTCCATTCCAGATCCATTTCTCTTACTTAGGATGAACTCTTTATACTGCAAATAAAAAAAAGTTTTCAGTCTTTTGTTGACTCCGAGATTCCTACATAATCTTCAAAGAAGAAAAACAACAGGGTTTTTGCAAATACTCAGCCACAGCAAAAGGGAAAAAAAGGTTTCGAATTAAGAATCGCTGCACCAGTGAAGTGTTTACATAATTGGAAATGGGGGTGGATCATTCTGTTGGCTGCAAGTAGATATGATAGAATGGCTGGGTTTATGACAGAATTATTAACAAAATGTGTTTTCAAAAATGAACATTGCAAAATCATCAGTTTGCTGTGTCCTTCTATTTCAGACTGCACTGGAGTCCTTGTACAGATTGATCCTTTTTGCACATTGCTGCAGATCCGGTCCAAGTTCTGGCAGTTCCCACAGTTTGGAGATGGATTAAAAGCAGACCCTTCTTTCCCTATGCCCTTTCTACCAAAAATATTCACCAGAGGACACTGCCAAGCTTTTTTTTCCAGATAAAAACGTGGACCGTTTTATTATACCCAGGGTGAGACACGAATAAAGGACCATCCCATCCCCAGGATGACTGGATTCAGACTACAAAGAGAATGTTCACTGTGGTATAGATTTAAGGATTTGTGAAGGATTTAATGCCTGCTCTGTAAGAGAGTGGTTTTCAGGACTATAACCCCTTGAAAACAAAATAATCAAATCAATTTCAGCCAGTTAAAAGTGCTGGAACTATGGAAGACTTGTTAAGAAGTAGAAGAGATGTGGCAAAAGAACAACAATGTTTTTTTTAAGACACAGGACAGTTTGAACTATTACAAAATAGTCTCAGGACCACGCATACCAGAAAACGTCAATCTGCTATGATTCCAACAGTCTCTAAAGATCCACAAATGCCTTGTCTCAATTGGGGACAAAACTACTCTGGTGGTCATCAGTTGTCAAACTCCCACTCTTTAAACTAGTTCAGAAGCTGGAGCTAGACCCCCTTTAGCAAAGGCCCAGAGGCAGGAATGGAAATTACGTGCCAGTGTATTCTAGCCCCTCGGATTACACCAGTACTTTCATTGTACTTTCGTTGTGCTCAGAAACATAAACAGTAGCTATCTCATCCTGTCTTTCACAGATGGATGTGGTTATAATGTGGTTAGGGTCCTCCTTTTATCCTAAGTATAAGATAATGAAACAATAACAAGGCAGTAATAAAAAAAAGTCTTAAGTGGAGACAGACTTTGACAGGACTCTTTCCCCCTAAGTCCTTTGTAAATTCCACCCCCTTCCACCATCCGTGCTGTGTTCTGCAGACATGGTCCCCCTAGGGGAGAACATGATTCCAGATTCGCTGCCACAAAACTGTACCAACTGCACGCAGGCCCCCACCCCAGGCCTGGACATTACCAAAGCAGTGGTCCTGGGGTTGGTTCTAGGGATCTTCATTGTTTTTGGGATCCTTGGGAACATCCTGGTCATCCTCTCAGTGGCGTGTCACCGGCACCTCCAGACGGTCACACACTACTTCATCGTCAACCTGGCAGTGGCCGACCTGCTGCTGAGCACCACAGTGCTCCCTTTCTCTGCCACTTTTGAGATCTTGGGCCGCTGGGTGTTCGGGAGGGTCTTCTGCAACATCTGGGCAGCCGTGGATGTTCTGTGCTGTACCGCCTCCATTATGAGCCTCTGTGTTATCTCCATCGACCGCTATGTGGGCGTGAGCTACCCTTTGCGCTACCCTGCCATTATGACGGAGCGGCGGGGTGTGCTGGCACTGGTGGGACTGTGGGCACTTTCCATCACCATCTCCATTGGGCCGCTCTTTGGCTGGAAGGAGCCTGCGCCCGAGGACGAGAGCGTGTGCAAGATCACCGAGGAGCCCGGCTACGCGATCTTCTCCGCCGTCGGCTCCTTCTATCTCCCACTGTCTGTCATCTTGACCGCGTATTGCCGTGTCTATGTGGTAGCAAAGCGTGAGACCCGGGGCCTGCGAGATGGCTGCAAAACTGACAAGTCCGACTCGGAGAGTGTGACTCTGCGGATGCATCGGGGAAACACTCCTGTGCCCGAGGATGAGGCCATGCGAGGCCGTCTGCACTTCTCCTTGCGCCTGCTCAAGTTCTCCCGTGAGAAGAAGGCTGCTAAGACCCTGGGGATTGTAGTGGGCTGCTTTGTGCTCTGCTGGTTGCCCTTCTTCCTTGTGCTGCCCATTGGTGAGTCAACCAAATTGTGAGCTCCATAAAACTACCTTTTTGGGGGGCCACATCAGACAGGTCTTTAAACCCTTAATAAACTCCTTCAAGATGAAAATCAGATTATGGCAAATCTATACTGATCATAGTTCAGAAACAAATATGGTAAGAAAGCTTGCTTAGTTAGTCCAGTCGTCTTCAACCACATTATGTTCATTTCCTCTGAACTACTATACAAGAATATTGGTCTGGGAGATCCAGTAGGTGAACTAGCAGTGCATTACCAGTGTGTTTAGAAAATTTTGTTTAGAAAATTGTAGTGGACACACGAATACAGTTTGTGAGATTGGAATACACCATTGATTGGAATACGCCATTTAGCTGCTGATGTAGATTTTATCATCAAAACAGAAGTTTGCCTTTGTATGAGAAGATCATTCATTCATTTTAGCTGTTGTATAATCCCTAAAATTACAACCATATAAATGCACTGAGTAAAATTGCACAGATGTAAATAAATCCAGCAAAAAATAGCTAAAATGTATTTATACATACCCTGGGAGATTTGCAGACAGAACATATTTGCCTCCAGTATGATTTATGTGTTTCACACTTTTAAAACCCAGGGCTTGGCTCTGAATCCTTTTCACATCTGTTTTCTTTTCTTCTGCTAGTTGTTTTTTAATAGCACATATTTATATGGACATATCAAGTTTGGAAAAAAAAAACCTCTGCAAATACATATTTGAATCAGCTTCTTAGAATTCAGTTTTTTTTTTTAGCATGCCACATCTTTCAGTTAGAAATAGAAATGTTTCTTCTACTCAGAGAGCTACTGGAAAATATTTTTTCAGAGCCACTAACCATTTACAATATCGCTATAGTAAATCATCTGCATTTCAATACAAATGAGTGTTGCCAAAATTTTGCATAGATCTACTGAAATCAGCGAGAGAGAGAAAATAAAAACAAATTCAATTTCCCTAGTGTTTAATGCTGAGATGTCTTCTAGTGAATGTCTGTAGAAAAGACACATTCATCTTCAGCATTCATAATTTCCTTTCCTTTTTGGCCTATTATTGCCTACACATACAGGAAGTCTGGGGAGCAAATGAAGGAACTATCAAGACCACTTTTAAAATGGAATCCTTTTCACAAGGAATGCTCAAAACTGATGCATTATGTACAGTATGGCAAAACCTGTTTTTGATGCTTGATGAGCATCTCATACCCATTTCAAAGACGAAAAACTCCCATCACTTGAAGGGGTGAATATTTTTGCAATGCACTGTATTCGGCTGTTGGGAAATGTGTATTATAATAAGCAATCTTTGCATAACCAAGTACAGAAGACACCGTGACAGCCTGTTCAGTCATTGCAATACTTTGCCTACGACCATTGAGGACCTCAAAATATTTCTTGTCTGGTACACCCTGATCTGTCTAACACAGGATAATTGCTATGCTTAGATTGCAGGTGCTAAACACATGAGAAAAAAATCAACAACAAAGAAATGTGCAGATATATATACCCCACTCTAATGCATCTCCTACTGTAATTATTGTGATCCTTTTCAATATATCCATTGTTTCCTTTCCTATTCTGATTATATCACATGAAAATATAATTTGTAGCACTTCACGATAATGGATACAGTTGCACTTTTCATGAATTCATTGTGGAGACAAGTCTGTGTCTATCACCCTGGGAAAATTACTAAACCTCCTTGTTCTTCATCCATTGAATGAAACATTAAAAACAAGGCTCTACTGAAAAAGAACTTTACATCAGTAATTAAGAACTTCTTCCCTAGTCTCTGTAAGATGTTCTGGAAAAAAAAACTGTTTGTAAAAGGACCTGATTTATTCATTTTAATAGTTGAATTTTTTAAAAAATGTAAGTTTAATTTTTACAGCATCACTGATGTGAAGAAATATTTTCCATTAAATGCACATTTGGGCATTCGTTTATTAAGGCAGTGGAATTCAATGTGTTCTCCCCTGACCACAGCAAGGCATGCTGAAATCTCATTGTTTAGGTATGCGGCTCCAGTGCTGTATTAAAAACCTTGTCAATTTCCTATAATTAAACCAAATAGACCATGCAGGGGTGTTTGTTTTGCCCTGGTGTCAATACGGAGGAGGATAAATGAAGAGGGATATGGGAGGGGGGCTTTTATTAATTCCAGAATTTGACCTACGTTGGAATTTGACCAGGTCAAAAAAAGTGAAAGCCATATGGTTTAAATCGCACTGCTTAGCCTAGTTACATGTTCATCTGGCTGCTTGTGTGTCCATATCTTCTTTACTTTCAGTTATCCTGTGTAGCTCCGGAGCTGCGCATTTGTTTTCTCCTAGTGACTTCCCTCCTCTTGCGGCCCCCTGTCCTCCCCTTGTGTTGATTGATGTTTGCATAACATGACATTGGCATCAACCTTCTCCTGTGCAGCAATCAGGAAAAACAAACTGTTGGTGCTTTCATACACATTTTTAATCCTAGTGCACATGGGTCTCCAGCCCTGGTCCTGTACAGCTTTACAAGCTTACTACTTAACCATCATTTGTTTCCTTTCACCATGTATTATTCAATAATTATTCAAGCACAACATAATGTTTTTATCTCTAACTGAAGACACCTTAAAATGTGGGGATTTTAAGACCCAGGGCTGAAAACCACCATCACCAGCCCAGTGTATATACAGTACAGTACACAAGAACATAAAATAACATATTATAGCATGTACTACTGTATATATAACACTCCACTTATTACACCATGTGTAAAGAAATATACAATACATGCTTGTACACATTTACTTTCTAATCAAAGTTTTGCCAACATTTTGGTTTAGAATTTCATTGTTTTTACCTGAACTTACTGACATACTGTATATACTGTATAATGAGCAATTAAATGAATAACTTAAGACTCAACAGAACTTAAAAAGAAGCTATCCATATGATTTGTGTTCCAAGTTGCTTTTGCTTTGCAACAGAAGTTAATGATTCATGGTGTGAAATTATTGACAGAATCCTGAAAGAGAATAAATGCAGGCAAACATATGACTCCTTAGTGTGATTTCTGCTGGATCAATCTCAATACTCATCCTGACTTAATCACTGTGGCGATATTGGTACTATAACAACTTTAAATCCAAGTTGAATTGCAAACTAGTTTTTTTGTAGTTTTATAGCTACAGAAATAAGCCTTCAGAAGTGCAGAGATTAGCACCCAATTATGTATTTTTCAACTGCAACAGATAACACAGGAACAGAACTGGTAATCAGGCCTTCTGCTTACAAAGCCATTGATGTACTTCAGTTGAAGGTAATAGCTGGAACCAGGAGTCTTGACTTTTTGTAAACAGCGCTCTTATGTGTGTGTACTAGGTGGATCAACATTTGAGTGCTTTTTGAAAGCAAAAATGACAAATACTGAATAAAATATAAAGCTGTAGCTGCAGCTATAAAGCTGGTAAAATATAATGTGTTGTCAGGCATGTTAACAGAGGTGCAAACTGAGAAGTTTTAATCCTTAAACCTTATTCACTCACTGGGCTGCATGAAAGTTTGATTTAATTTGGTTTTATCTCACTGCTTCTGAAGATATCATCTTGAGAAGCCAATTTTCCATCTTCTGAATCATTTTAGCACTAAAACGATAACTGTACTCATTGAACAGTAACAGAGTAGTACAGAAGTATACCAGACTATGTATTCAAACTTAGAAACAATGAAAACATGGAAGTTATTATTTTTATTTAAACCTGACCACTTGATCAAGAGTTTTAGATTATATTGGCATGGGCTGGATAACCCAGACACCTGTTTACGAGATAAATTTGAATAATTCTGATATCAGCTGTCCATTAAGTCATGTGGCAAACAGTAGGATAGTAACGAATTAGAGGTCTTTAAATTGTTTTTCTGTCATCTAAACTGTGAGGAATCAACAAAAGACACAAAAACAAGTAAAAAACATCTGTTTTCAAAAAATGCCTCTGCCTATATTTTTACATTATTTTTTAAAAGATTTCTATAACCAATCCTTCTGCACCTGTAACATAAATACTGATGAAACTGCCATCCTAAACCCCAAGACTGATGTACTGTAAGTCTGTCTTATATTATTATAATGCTAGGCACAGAATAGAAGCTGCCAATTAGAAGACAGTGGCCTGTGAACATTTCATAAGCTAACATTATTAATTGTTTGGTAGTGATTTGTACTCTGCCTCCTTATAGGAGCACCCTCCTTAGCTATCAGAAGGTACCCAATTTATGGTGCTAATTTCAATAAAAACCATTAACCTCAACAAAGACCCAACAGAGGCAGAGAAATTGAATTTGCTGTTGTGCTCTTCCTTCCATCGAAGAACACCCTCTGATTTTAATAAGCCAACATGGTGGTGTCATTTTCATTTACAACGCTGGTGATGCAGGCTTTTCATTATTTCCAGGATAAAATGAAAAATCACAGTGTGCAATACTGGACCAGTACCTGCATTGGAGTTATGTTGTAATCTTTTAAATTGCTGCAGTATACCACCATAAAGACAGAGTGGAGCATAAGAAGGGACAATAAACACATGGTAAATTAAAGGTAATGATAATAATGATAAAATATTAAGAAACCATGGTAAAGCAAATACAGTACAAGGTAATATCATGAAAAACAACTTATATGAGTTAATAACTTGTTATTAACAACGATGTGTATATGTCAAAACATGTTCCACAGCAGCCAAGGATAACTGTGCTTTGATATTTTCCTGAAAATGTCAGTGGTCATTATAGTGATTTGCGCCTTTTTTAACATTCTTTTTTTCTGTGTATTTCCTGTATTCCCAGGCTCTATATTCCCAGCCTGTCGGCCACCTGAGACCATTTTCAAAATCACCTTCTGGTTGGGTTATTTCAATAGCTGCATCAACCCCATCATCTACCCCTGCTCCAGTCAGGAGTTCAAGAAGGCCTTCCAGAATGTGCTGAGAGTGCAGTGCTTGTCACGGAAGGCCAGACAAGCCTCAAAACCACATTCCCTGGCTGTGGGACATGGGCATTTTGGCACTCTGGAAGCAGAGCAGCGTGGAGACCATGGACACAGTCCCACCACACCCATTCTGAGCCGAGCAGCAACACAGAGAGACAGAGGGGAGAGGAGGGCTTGTTCAGGGGTGACCTCCACAGAGCGCCACAGCTGTCGAACAGAGGCAGCCCGGGTACGAAGCAAAAGCCTGCTGAGGGCATGCTGCTGTATTGTCAGTGAACCTCCGAAGCAAGGCCACACACCCACGCCTGTACCAGTCATCAAAATTCACAAGCTCTCACTGTGTGAGAACGGAGAGGCCGTGTAACTGAGGCCTCAGGTCGCAATCACACTTGCAGCACAATATCCCCCACAAGGAGAACAATATAAGTGCTGGCCCCTTGTCTCAGACAGTCAATTCAAGCACCAGGATTGGTGGTCAAAGGCCTCACTTGGAACAGGACAGGAAAACCGACCTTAAAAAGTGCAAATTTACTTTTAATTTAGCATTTTCCAGATGCATCTTCCCTATGCTGTCATTCCTGTAGCTATGTTATAGTCATGAGAAAACGTTTCTGAACCCTTTGGAGTTTTCTGCATTCCTGCATTAATTGCTCCTGAAATGTGATCTGATCTTCTTTATCATTATAATATTTATCATAATAATAGATAAACACAATCTGATCAAACAAATAACACACAAACAGTTGTACTTTTTCTTGCCTATATTGAACACATTGTTTATGCATTTACTGTCTATACTGGAAAAAGTATGTGAACTTCTAGTATTATGACCTCTATTAAAGGGGGAGTCGGGAATTCCAATTAAATGAGATGACATTTAGGTGTGAGTTTCAGATGCCCTGCCCTGTAAAAAACCCCAAAACACTTGGTGAAACATGCACTGATCAAAAGCGGTTTCAGAAGGCCTCAGAAGTAGACATTGATGCTCACAAAGCTTCAAAGGGATAAAAAGGCATTTATGAAGACTAAAGCCTTTGTCAATCCACAGTCAGGCAGATACTATACAAATGCAATAGCTACTCTCCATAGGAGTGGTCTTCCAACAAAAATCACGGCAAGAGCAAGCCATACAAAGATCAAGGAGGTAACAAAGAACCCTAAGGTAACAGCTTCATAAGGTAGTTCATGAGGATCTTCAGGCATCTCTTGCACTGGCTAATGTCTGTGTTCATGAGTCCACAATAAGGAAAACATTGAACAAGAGTGTGTCCATGGAAGGAGACCGTGGAGGAAACCACTGCTTTAAAAAAAAAAAATTGCTGCCCCCTCAAGTTTGGCAAAGGCCACCTAGATGTTCCACAAGGCTCTTAGAACAATATTCTCTGGACAAATGTGAACTTTGTGGCATAAATATGTTTAGAGAAAAACAAAGCATGGTGGGGGGAGCATCATGGTTTGGGGCTGCTCTGCTGCCTCAGGGCCCAGACAGCTTGCAATCATTGAGGGACCAATGAATTCCAAAATACATCACTAATTTCTACGAGGGAATGTCAGGGTATCTGGCCATGATCTCAAGCTAAATAGAAGTTGGGTCATGCAGCATGACAATCTGCAGGAGTAAAAACAGAATAGCTTAAACAGAAGACATTTTGCATTTTGGAATGGCCAAGTCAGAGTCTTGACCTTAACCCAATTGAAGTCCTGTGGCATGACCTGAGGCAAGCTGTTCATGCAAGATATCACCAAAAAAATCAATAAATTGAAACAGTTTTCTAACAAGGAATGGGCCATAATACCCCCCATAGCGATGTGCTGGACTGATCAGCAGCTACAAACACATTTAATTGAGGTTATTGCTGCTAAAGGAGGTTCCACCAGTTACTACTGTAAATCTAAAGATTCACATACTTTTTCCAGAATAGACAGAGAATGTTTTAAAAATGTGATCACCAGAGACATGAAAAAGTACAATTGTTTGTATTTTACTTATTTAATCAGATTGTGTTGTGATATAATCTATTATTATGACAGAGATGAAGATTTCATTTGAGGAGCAATTACTACAGGAATACAGATAATTCCAATCTTCACAATCTTTTTCTCACAACTGTATGCTCCTTTCATTCATCAAACACTGAATCTGCCATGATTCATAATTCACTGATTTAACGCAGTGTGTATGGTAAAGAGCAAGTGGAAAGGCATGCTAGTGTCCTGTGCTTTTTTGACTTAAGAGGCCTTCAAATAGGATGTGCATGCACCAAAGGTTAAAGTGCCATCACTTGTTGTTCAAAGAGCCCAGTGTCTCAGAATTGTGCCACAAAAAGCCATTAACTGTCAAGTAGGTCAGTACAAGAATAGTGAGTCTCTTTCTTTGTTCAATCTGAAGTGAAGTTTACCTTCTTTAAAATTTCTTAGCCCAAGGACCTTCAGAAATATCTAAGTATCAAGAAATATAAGAACAATATAGTATTATACACAGCTGTGTAAAAGTTTTAGACATTTTCCTATGCTCAACTAAGTGTTTTTCCTACTGTACTTTGTGCAGGAACACAGTTCTTTGATGACCCATTTTGTTGTAAGATAACAGTTTAACAGTAATCCTGACAGATCTGTATTTCATTGTACAGAAAGTAGTATTTTACCTTTAAGGTTATATAAAGTGCAACAATTGTTATTCATTGCAAAGAATACGTGACAGCAAATCAGTAAGATTTGATTGATAAATGTGATGGATTAGATAGTACAACCCTTCATAGTGACTGCTCATATATAGTTTACCTCAAACTGATGTGAACAAGTTTTTGAAGATGGGGGTCAGTGTAAATTACTAAAGATGACAAAATGACAATTAACTGTATTAATAACAGTCAGTTTTAATAAAACACTAGTGGTGACTTTACATAAATGTAGTGTAACTTCTGAATATGTCTAAATTGTCTAAGATTTTTACACAGTAGTGCATATCACCATGTTTTGCTCCTGCAATTTAAAATTGTATCTGTAAGCCATTTATTCATTGTTGTTGTCCTAACATGTTTATACTTTAAGCAAGCACTAGTTTCTGTGAAGCAGGTGTTTGTAAGAAATAATACAATTTTCCCAAATTTGGTGCTACAGAAGCACCTGCAGTCACAATTTTCACAGTAGCTGCAAACTTTGAAAATGGAAAGCTTAAAATCATGTCAGGATGTGAACAATAGCAGAAAAAAATCTACTAGGAACAACATGTTGTGATTTATAATGCTGTAGCCATTAGAACCCTATTACTTGTGTGTTAAAGAATAAGAAACTACATCACGATACAGGGGGACTGGAAATTGACTGCATTGCTGTTTTGTTTGATTTTTTTAAATCTTTTTTGCAAGGGATTAAGAGCAGGGCTTTGCCAAATGAACATTTATTAAGACTGAAAGCCGCTGCATGTGCCTGGAGAGAGCTTAGGAAATCCCTCCTGAAAAGCACAAGAAATATCAGAGACTTGCCTTTTATTTCAGCAGCATCAGGCCCAGCCTCCCAGTGGAGATCAGGGATGGCTACGAATAATCAACGTTTCTGATTACTTCAGAGTTCAGAGTGGACAAACACTGACACTTCTCCGAGAAGAGATAACAGGGGAGTTATTGAAGCTGTGGGACTTTCTACCTGGGATATTGCTCTGCCTTTGGGGAGTAGGGGGTGGACAAAAAAAAAATCTCAGCTAGATGAGTCAGCTGCATTCAAGTTCAAGGCTTTCACCTGGAGTGCAAACGGTCTGTGTGTGGCTGTAATTAAAAAGTAAGATCGTAACCGAGCTTCTCTCAACTCTAAAAGCAGCAGCCTATCCACAGACCTGGGTCAAAACTGGGATGGCAGATCCCAGTCAGGGCAGATGTCTGTGTCTCTACCTGTCTCTTAATGAGCTTGACTCACTATGGACGAGAGGATTGACCATTGATTGTGATAGTCGGATTCTGGGCAATTAGCTACCAAAGCACATTCTAGATTCTCCCTTTTAATATTTAACAAACATTCTAGAAGCAGCTGCGACTCCTGAAGCATACACACCACTACGAAACCCTCAAGAAATTTTACTATACTAAATGTACATGGAATTTTCATAATTTTCCCAGGAACAAGTGCTATTGGGAAGTTGATCATCCAAAAGAGGGTGTTTGTTTTGTTGACAGGCGGGTGGGCTGGCAAAACCTTATAGCACTGCACTCAAAAATAAACCAAGTGGCAGCACATCGGTCCTCAGCAGTATTATTCTTAAACCTCCAACTATCTTATTTTGTATCTTCAGATAGCATGTACAAGTGTCAGAATCCATGAAGTAGCCCTGCTTCATTCCTGAGAATGGGCTCTCTGCATTGAAGTCCTTACCCTGCTCATCTAACATGGCCATATGAGCTGAATTGTGCAAAAATGTTTTCTGGCAAGCTGTAATGTAATAAGTTATTCTTGTGACCAGACACACATGTGACCTCATGTCTGGGTAACTGAAGTCCACAGAATGACTGCTATCTCTTGGACATATGTTCTTTTTTTAATCAGTCTGTATAAAAGGCAATTTTTAATGTAAAGAAAAGAATCATCCAGAAGATCCATTCAAAGACCAGATCTAAAAAGACTCTAAGAGACTTAAAAGATTCCCAGTACACAGCAGTTTGATCCATTCCAGGATTTACATACTTCTGGCCCATATACAAAGCAAACAAAAATAAACCAAAAAGGCCTTTATACGTGCCAAACAAGGGTTTGGCATGCTTCAGGCTTACCTCATTTTGTGTGCATTTGCATGATTTATGGACTTACAATTCTTTGCTGTTTTGCTTCCTCTCTAAAAAGCCTTCAGCGATTGTAAAATATTGAAATACAATCAACAGCCAGACACTGGGGGTTTTCTTGTCTTTCCCTTCAGTGTTCTGATGAGAGCAGAGACTGTCAAACATTTCTAGCTATCATGAAGACAAATCCCAAAACATCTGTAATCAAACTTCTTCAACTGGTTCTTGAATGCTAGGGAGACCACGGACAACATAATGTGGATTTCCATTACTTCTATATTGTTGGTGTTTTTCCAACATTTGCTTTCCACAATAAAAATAATAAAAACCCCAGATGACAATAAAACAACACAAAAAGAACTAAGAAAACAACTTCTTAGCATTATATACAGATGATTATGAAATGATCTGCGTCAATTTGATCAAATTAGTGAATACGTGAAATCATCCAAGATATAGATTCTCAGAGGCACAATGTGATTTTTATACACAGTCCTTCCAAGTGATAGATTCAGAAGACAGGAAGATTAATCAAATATAGAGTATTCCAGCTTTTTGGAATTAAAGCACATTTAGTCGCACATTTGTTACAAAGCCAGTTTCTGAAATTGATAGACAAAAAAGCAATTTCAGCTGGAGCTTTTTTTTTTTTAGTGAATTTTAGAACTAATTTTAGAATGGTCCAAACCATAGCAACATTAACTTGGTAACTCCACAACTTCAACCTTACACATCTGAATACATGCTGTTTCACAAGTGTCTGAAAATATTATAGATCTCCACATGATAATACTAGTGAACATACTATATGAATATCAAAGGTATTGTGCATTTTGATTTCTTCTCTCAGATGTATAAACTTGTGCCAATTTTGTACTCATTGGGTCAGACTCTTTTGATGGACTGTCTTTATCATTAGAAAGCCTGACACTAAACAGACAATTTCTTCATTATCAGTGTATGAATAAACATGAATACTGTGCAGACAGCAGTCTAATGCATACTTTTAGTGAATAATTTGTAAGCTCACAAGAAATGACTATGTGCAATCTGATTAATTATTGAATTCTAAGGCTAAAATCCCCAGATCAGAAATATAAAGACGGACAATCAAGCACACAATTACTGCTTTTAAATAGACTCCTTTTTTAAGATTGTGAAAACAAAAAAAAGTCTATGTTAATTTAAACTTTGACCTTCACATCTTTTTATTACCATATTAACTGGAATGGTAAGCTATACTTTTATTTTTTATTAAATTATTTAATGTCCAAATAACTCATGTAGCACTATCCATGTAGGATTTTGAGAGTCTGAAAAGGCGTACTGAATTTATCAATCTAATCAAATTAATGTATCAATTAATAGCTCAGTGCTGAAGATTCTAGAAGGCCCTCCATTTTGTGGGTCTGGGTGGACTCAGAGATATTTAATCAAACTTTATTGTACACATTCACATGTACATGCAAGCTGTACTTATGCAAGTGCAAAATGTGTAACAGTCTGGACAATGTTTTCTATGTACAGAATACGTTTATTTAGCTTTGTTTCATTTTCTTTTTTTTTATTGTGAGCTTCCTTTATGCCTTGTTGTACTGTTTAATATTTTATGTCCTAAATAATATATGCTCTAAAAAAGTTCAGATAAACTTTCTCGGAAAACAAACTGAAGATACACTGATATTCGGATCTCTGAGTTTTGAGATACTGACTGTAAAGTCAACATGTTAATTGAAAGGAAATGAATCAGGTTTGACTAGCTCTTTCCTCATTCACCTCCTATGTCTGAAATACCCATGTTATGAGTACAGTTGGGATACTTTTCAGGTATCAGGCTTGACCTATGTACAGTATGATCTAGAAGACTACTGTCCAGTAGGTTTCATAGGTTACCCTGACATCATCAACATCTAAAAATGTAGAACAGTTCTAGCAGGTTATTTTTAAAGATTTTGATATACAGTATTTAATACTTCATCCCTGAGTTCACTGGACAAGTTTTTTTCAATGGATTTTTTTTCTTATTTTGAATGCTAAACCATTTTATTGTGGCTCTCCATTGACCATCAACGGAATATCTTATAGAAATACATTGCTGCCATGTCTGCCATATTTCTTGTGAACAAGGTATGCTCTTTGAAGCATTATTATGCCAAAATGTCATCTCTGTTGCTCTGAAACCTGTGCAAACTGAAAGGTGTCCTACTGTTAAAACAATAGTATGGTGATATTTCTGTGTCTTTTGATGTCATATATTGTAATAAAAAAAAATACAAAAAGTTATAAAGTCTTTGAAATTGTGTATTTTATGTATTGGGAGATTTAGAGTTCTGGAGGAGGCCAAAACCAAATCTTGCTTACTTCTGTCTACAGTACATCCCAGTAAAAGCCATCTTCCTTAATTATTCACTTGCACATTACTGCTCCTCCAATCACTTAGCAATTTGCAGCATTTAAGAACCCAAACCACTTTACCATGTGCACCATCTTCCACATTTAAGAATTCTGCTTCGGTTCTCATTTGTTGCCCTTTTCATCCTTTCTCAAACATTATTAAGCTGTACTGTACTGTATATCTGGCACTTTCTCTCTTCAATATGAAAATGCTACTAAAAATCCCTTCAAAACGTTCATTTCCCTCTTACACCCATATACTGAACCCCAATTGGCATTATAGGTTCTCTCTTGATTATTTTGGATATTCCTGTAGTCCTTACAGAGAAGCTGATGTTCTTCTCTGCCGGGTGAGTTACTCCAATAGAGCTGACTATTCAAATTACACCCCTTCCACACCTCAGTTAGGGTTTGACTAAACTATTGAAATGGAGTTTTGATTTTTTTTTAATCAAGAGGTCAAAATCTGATCTCTCCCACTTCAGCCCACCTAATGGAGTTTTTAGCAGACATTTGGGAGGGATGACAACAGCCAAGTTCAATCAATGTCAGCTGAAAGTAATTTGTAATCATGACTGATGTTATTTCCTCACATAAAAACTATAGTTGTACATTATCCCCTTTTCTCAATCACATACATCTTTTTAATTCGTCCTCAACCCCACCTCCACCTTTGCAGCTCCTCCTTGGTGACTCCTCACTTCACATGGGGGTCCCAACTTCAATATCTTCTGGCCAGGAGCTTGGCCCTCAGCCAAGTGGGTTAAGCCAAATTTACTGAAAATAAAACGTTCAATAAACCTTCCAATACACTTAATTCTTGGGTGTTGTTACACCTAGTGAATGTATTATTACCATGAGGCTTGATTAATTTCTTAATATAATGCAAGCTAAAAACCGAGTCAATTAAGTTACAAATATTGTAAGGGCTCATACAGTATGCGATGAAAACCAGATCATGTAGCTCTCCAGGATCTGGAATGGCAATCACTGAGATCTTTGTAGAAATGTGTTTATAAAGTGCTTTTATAATATAGAGGAAGCTGATAAGTGTACAAATAGGTGCATAGTGAACGCAGTGTAGTTACCTTATGTGCATTCTGTGTTATAACTGGTCATGTGTTCCCCAGGCACCCATATGTAAGCCTCTCAAATTCCACTCCCTGTGCTCTTCAGTGCACAGTTTTCACAACACAGCTGCTTTAAAAAAAGCCAACTACATTTTCACCATGTACACACAAACATATCACAGCACTGTGTGGAATTCCCATGGTAGTCCTATGTGCTTTCCACTCAGGATGTGAGTGAGCTCTGCGCAGTGGGATAGCGAACCCCGTCACGGACCAGTTTTAATGTGGGAGTCTTGTGAGGGGGGCTCTTAACCTTCTGTGTGAACCCTGAGCTCTAAAAAATGCCAAGCACTTCTCACAGAACAACCGTCAATTCCTTGGACAGCAGCACATATTTCAAATGGCAAACAGCTTGGAAATGAATCTTTATGTCTCCAGCTGTATATTGTCATAGTCAGTGATATATATTTATACAACCTCTCTCCCTCACCATCAATCACATAATATTGATGCATAGAGTGGGTCTACTGTACATGTCCTGGCTGTTGAACCAGGGGGGGAATTCTGCTTCACGCTCTTTTAACTGGTAGCAAATCCCTTTGGATTTTAATTTTTATGAAAGGGTTCTGTATCTGGTTGTGAACCTAGTGTAGCATGTCCATTCCTTTCAAAACCACAGAAATATGCATCATGAGGAACACCACATGTTCAACTACATACTGTAAAACTATGACTTTTTTTAATATTTATATTTTGGGGTGAATAAGTATTTTTTAAGATAGTGACATTAGGAAAATGCTAATCGCAATCGTTAAATGCCATAATATAGCAAAATTCTTATTCTTCAGCAAAATGCATTACCTGCTCAGGAAAATAACTTGCAGGAATGTAGTACAGTAAGTTACGGAGTACAATGAAGAAGCTGTGTTTATAAGTTGATACAAATGTTTACGTTAGGCAGGATGGCATGTACAAGAAGCACAAGTTCCTCAAGAGCTGAAACGGTTCCCTTTATTTGTAATGCCTGCCTTGGGAATACAGAACATGAACATGAGCTCGCCAGATTCTTCATGTGCTGTCAGTCCTGCTCAGTGGTGCAGATCACATCCCAGCTGCCTTACAGAGGAGAATAACAGAAGAATAAAAGACAATGTGATCAATGGCAAGATACATACACAAGCAACATCAGCCTTGTGGTCAGACAAAGATCGTGACAGAGAAGAGAATACTGAATGCAATGGTGCGATTCCTAATTAAGTGCAATTGTACGGAACACTACAATTACACTATGGAATTCCTGTCATCTAACACTTTCAATTATATGATCCAAACATTTTCTGTATTACATAAACCTAAGCCATTCTACATATCAGATTATTAAGCTTAAACACCTGAAGATCAAAATAAAAAAATGTTTTTGCTTTGATTATATTCAAATTGAATAAAAACCTTTCAAAGTATTTCAATACCTGACTACAGTAGATCTGAGTGTGCATTATGATCATCATAACTGCACATATAACTGTAACCCAGAGAGTATGTTTATGACTTTCAGTGTCAACCCTCAGGGGGCATTTCTGACCGAGTCTTTTAATTCATGAAAAAGGCCGATGGACATTGTCAGCAGACTTTAACCACCCCCCTCCTCACATTCTCACACGTTGTCTGACTCACAGTCTCGTTTTTCATTCCAGTGTGTGTGTGTGTCTGCAATTAGATAAACACAGACCATGGCCTACAAAATCATTATCCCAGAAAGACATCCTCCTGGCATTGATCAAACTGGACTCATCCCCGTGACTCACGGGGAAGCAGTACGTAGAGGCTAATTAATTAACATACCGCTCCTTCTCTGCTTCTGTGAGCAACAGGCCATACCGTATTTCTCAATATACAGATGTAAAACAAGCACACTAATAGCCATGGAAAATCACAAGCATCTTAAAATCGTTCTATCTTTGCCTTCTTAATCCCCCTGGAGCGCAAACAGACAAAATGATGCTGACTAAATCATCGTGAGAATGAGAAGCAGAAATCCTTCCTTTAGAACAGTATCCACATCCAACTGTCACAAAACGGTGACACACGTTGTGTGAAGTGACTGCCTACAAACTATGCAGAGATCAAACACATTTGACATGTTAAGGGATTATAAATGACCTTGAAAGAGAATGGTGGAGAAGGCAGAATTGGACAAATAATAAGGTGAATCAGGCACATCCAAAGAGATGCAAAGGAACAAGTAAAGGTTTATTCCACACTGAGAAGAGAAGAAAACAAACACAACATTTCACCTTTGGAGCCTTCTTGGGGTGTGATGCTAAACATCCACAGAGATGTTTAGTTTGTGATGCTCAAAGAAGAGAGCGCAAGGGGCAGTCAGTCAGAAAGCTGTGAAAATTAAGTTCTTTCACTTGTACTAAAGAAAAGTTTTACAAATATCGCATTCTAAAAGAACAGATTATACAAGTTTGACCGAGACAGAAAAACAAATTCAAAGTAGCTTAAGGACATGAGAAAGGTCTCAAATAAGAAGGGGCAATTCAGACTGTCCCACTTAGCCCATTTGGTAGTTAGTAGTTAATTTATCTGAGGATTTGCCCTTGTCAACATGAAACATCTGCTAAGTGTTTGCCCAGCCTTTAATTTTGTCTAAATCATTTAGACATTTCATTTGCTGCTTCTACAGTATTTGGTAATCCTTTTATTTTATATCATCTACAGACTTCATTAGTTTACTAACAATACCAAAATCAAGATCATTGACATAAAATTCGGAAGAGCACTGGTCATAGCCCAGATGCCTGTGGTCTTCCGCTAATTACATCATCCCAGTTCGAGCACCCCTTTCCCCTTCACCCCATCTAGCTACTTTCTGTCTTCTGTGCTTTAACCCCCATCTCAATTCCCCGTCTTTCGGATGAGACGTAAAAAAGAGGTCCTGACTCTCTGTGGTCATTAAAAATCCTAGGGCGTATCTCAAAAAAGAGTAAGGGTGTAACCTGGGCAGCCTGGCCAAATTTCCCATTGGCCCTTACCAATCATGGCCTCCTAATAATCCCCTCTATCAATTGGTTTCATCACTCTGTTCTCCTTCCTACTGTTAGCTGATGTGTGGTGAGCGTTCTGGCGCACTATGGTTGCCGTCACACCATCCAGGTGGATGCTGAAAAATTGGAAGCGGTGGAGGGGAGTCCCCATTACCTGGAAAGTGCTTTGAGTGGAGTCCAGAAAAGTGCTATATAAGTATAAGCAATTGATGAATTAAATGAATTAAAACAAATGTATTTACCCGAATGGCTACCACCTGTAATTTCAAGATGACTTTTATGAGGAATTTCAAATGCTTTCTGAAATATAAATACCATATCATATGACCTTGGTGTGTCCATTATTGTTGTTGTTCACTCAAAAAACTCTAAAACCTTAGTTAAACAAGACCTACCATTTCCATACTGTACATCCCTATTTTATGCATAAGGAGGAAATAATTTTCTATATTATTGGTCATCCTGATTAGGTCTAATTATGAAACAATTTAAATAAAAACTAAATAACATACAAAACAAAAATCAGTCATGTTGGCAAAACAACAATCAGCAAAAATCAGACATGTTATTACTTGTTTCGTTTTTTACTCCATTTCTATGTTTCAACACTACATGAGAAATTCTCCTGTCCATTGATACTACTACAGTCTTAAGTGGCTGTTGCAAGGGCTGTGTTAAAGCCCTAAGAATACAACCCTTTCTTTCCTTTATTACATTTGCTAGAATACCATCAAGCTCTGATGATTTGTTCATTTTA